CCAACCATGTTCGCCATAGCCGATGCACCGTGCTCTCATCCATGTGGGTATCAGCTGCGATTTGACATAAGGACCAACCCACCCTTCTCAGTCCGATCACTATACCCCTCGTAAAACCATCTGTCTGCTGGAAGTGCCTTTGTTGACAGCATCCTGGCATTCTCTTCTATTACACGTATCCTCTGGGACAAAAACCAACTTTCTTCGATAATTCGTCTGGCAGAAATAACGACACAAATATTGCCCATTCTGCACGTTTCTTCCCTTATATCTTACTTCACACGCATTGGAGAGCTGTGCATTTCACATCATTCACATAACTCAGTGACGTGCGTCTACTCGAAAATTTGCATAAATTTCTGACCACTCCTTCTTGGTGTTGCATTTTCAATGTCAAGCAATATTGACCTTTTTAGTAAAACCCCAATCATAAGTATTAACTAATGAATTTAAAAATAAATGATAATCAGTACCTAATTTAACATAGCTCATCAGTCCTTAGTCGTAAATAACGTCCATTAGAAGCCGAGCAGTAATGTCACTGAACACCAGTAGTTTGAGTTCTCCCCACATGTAACAGGAATACGAGCCAGTTTTCTTTAAAAGTCTTTCAAAAATGCATTGCTTCCAATACAGAGACAGCCCTTCTTTGTTTTAATTAATCAACCGTAGTCGTAAATAACAAATTGTTTTCCCTCCGAAAGTTAAAGTTGTCTATCTTTAACTGAGCATCTAACTGTGTCATTTCAAATCTTGATGTAGACAAAGAATCGGAAATTCTTATTTCCTTTTTTGAAATTTTTTGTATCACCCAGATCATCATCAAATTTTTTCAATCTTTGTATAATGGTTGCGATGATTTTATAACAAGCTATTTACATTTTTCTTTCACTAACAGCTATTTTTCATAAATGTTTACTCTTACTTGCTGAGAATTTTATGTTCCAACCGTATTGAAATTTGGAAATAAACACATCTTCATAACAGTAAAATATTCATAATCAAATATCATTTGGACATTTTTATTCGATAACACTTTCAGTAAAACGGACGTATTTTCCTTAGGGTAAAAAATACATCATACGATTTCATGTACTTCCAGTACTTTATTTTATCAACGCTAAAAAGCAATTTCATCAAATATGATATTATTTCTGAATGATTTTCATATCATGCCTAGAAAATTTCTCAGTAGTTCGTTTTAGACGAGAAATCAGAAGAGTAAAATGAATTTTTTTTTTAAGGAAACACATCTTGTCCTCATATTTCAATAATAAAATGTCCATACTTCACATTCACACAACCAAATGAATTTGGATGCAAACATATAAATGATACATTAGTTTAAAATGGAATTACACGATTTGAACTCTTTCAAAAAGCTCATTTTTATTTCAGAACAATTATTCAAAATATATATATTGAAGTAACTGTTTTTGTGAATTTTTATAGTAATTTTAAAAAATATAGTAATTTTAATCAATTTGCACTGCTAAAATAAAACTTGTATCCATTTTCTCTGTTTCTACAGTCATTGTAAGATACCTGTTTAAGTATTTATTTTATTTTAAAAGAAATTATTTGTACATTAGGTGATGCTAAATTCTTTAAAAGGTATTCATGTGGGTTCCATGCAAATTGCATTTACTTTTTCAGAAGAAATTTTGTTTCGCAAATTTTTCGCATACACAAAGGTTTTCATTGAAGGCTTTCCAGTATTTTCCAGTTTCAGCACGAAAATCACCCTTAGGTCAGGAGATGGTACAATTGGTTTTGATGTTTTTATTTATGACCCTCCCATTGTAACATCTTTCTCTAACGATTGCTGTTTCCCCACTACCAATTAAGCGCAACAGGAGGTCGAGGGAACGACAGTACAGAATATTCCATCCTCAACGATTTCGAGGGGGAAAATGTGAGGCAAAAACCATCTTTGCGGAAAAATCCGTCTGTAACGCTTAGAGGGTTAAGATTTACTGTATTTTTTTACTTCCTTGAACAAATTAAAGGAAGTATTATAATTGAAAAAAATTTCGGGTGTCATATTTCAACAAAAGTATCCATTTTGACTGCACTAGTATCCATTTAGATGCTGTTTTTGCATTATGTCTGTACGTAGAGACAAAATAATGGACTGTTTTTTCCAAGACAGATTCTAAAATCGATTCAGAAGGGATTTTTAGTAACATATGTATGTATCTCGCATTACTCAAAAAACGTTTAGCCATAGGAGGTTGAAATTTTGTGAATGGGACTGCTGTAACACGTAGTCGTGCACCTCCCTTTCTTGTTGCAACCAGTTGCACCATATATATATATAGAAAAACACATTCTCTTACCCAGCTCAGTGAACTCTGTGTTTTTCTTAAATGTTTGTAAAATGTGCATTTTTTTTTTTTTTTTTTTTTTTTTGCTTTAAAAATAATTAAATTATGCTTTTCTTATATTACAGTTAAGGTTTTTGTAGCTTAATTAAATTTGCATGCAATAGTTGTAGAATTATTAACAATTTAAAAGTTTAACGGTGCTAGGCCTAATAAAACCTCCACTTGTTCACATTTGAAACTCTTGTAATGAATTATGTCAGTTGGTGCACCAACTTCAGTGTCTTTTTGCACAGTGGGCTCAAATGTTACCTTTCCATTATGTGCACCAAAAAATTTGTCTTTTTGCCCATTGGCCGCATTGCTTGTTTTTGCATACAAATTCTACTAATTTTAGTTAAAATTTTTTATCCTGTTTTTAACTTTGTTTGGTGCTTTAGATTTTTCTGTGTTTGAAGGTGTTTTGAGCTTTTATGTATTTTTACCTAGCATCAAAATGAGAACTGAATTGATTAAATGAGAAATATATCTGTAATGAAATTCGAGAAAATAAGTTTAAAATAAGTGCAGCAAAAAATATGTATAATTTAATGGGCTGTACAAAGAAATCATAACCACATCAGGTATTTAATATTAATGAACATTTAAAAAAATTTTCTTTTTCCTTAACAGTTTTTGTCCATTAAATTGAATCAATGATCTAGCTGACATAACATCTTCGTCTTCGTTTCAAAATAATGCACATTTTCTAAACTTTGATTAGCTTTTCATGTGCACTGTGCAGGGTTTTATTTATTACGTTTTGTTGTTTAATGTGGGAGCAATGAACCCTTACATTAAACATAAAATAATGCATGGGTAATAGTTAATAAGATGATGATTATAGGCTTTAGCTGTGCTTAGACATCCTGCACCTGCATAATTGTTGCTGATTTTTCATGGGTTATACTTCAGACTAATCTAATTAGACTAAAATGCTACACTTTGTGATTTTGTGGAATTGATTGCACTCTGTGCCAACGCACAAATTTGTATTAGAAATGCAAATTAAAAAAGTGTCGAATTATAAATCTTTTATTGTGAATCATTACTGATTTAAAACCATTTTTGGTACTACATATTATTAAGCCCTATTTTAAGTCAGCATATTGGCATCAGGATTATTACTAAGTTCATGTGTTCTTCTAATGACATTTTTTGCAGTGGCTTTTAATGCAGCATCAGAAGCATTTTCTCATCCCAAGGTTTTTCCACCTCATAAGTTCCTCAAGGTAAGACTCAGGATGATGGAGAAATGTGCATTGCTAGTTTTTATTCTGCCACTTATTAGAGTGCCGTAGTCTTTCAACATTTTATATGTGAGTGTCTGTTATTGGATAAACAAAATTAAATTTATGATTCCCAGTAAAATGTTTATAATCTGCTTTTTACTTTTCCCACTGTTTTATATGCTCAGCAATAGTCCGAATAAACTGTTGTAAATTTTGCCCTGAGTATTGATATTTTTTCCCTTATCTTTTAGCAGCTTTATTGAGAATTAAACAATTTCCTGGCATAAGCCAGCAAATATCTAGTATTGTGGAACCCTGATTAAACAGTTTTTCATTTATAGCCATAATTTTTTCAGAGCCACATATTTAGATATCTGTTTATCCGATTTCATGTAGAGAATCCATCTCCGTTGTAAAACTATTCCAGTCAATAGCTGTATTTCCATAAAGGCTGAACTGCTTCTCTCACAATGTAATTGATGTCAATTTCTCTACCCAAGAATAGATAAATCATTGCACTGTTACAAACAATATTCTGAAGCCACTGAATCAGTTGTCAAAACGTATGCTTTTCCTTTATTTACAGCTTTCATGTTGCTCCTCCAAATGCTTTTATTGATCTCTAGTTTTATTTAATGGCATTACAGATAAAATTCGGCTTTATTGAGAAAAGATGTGGTATTTTGTTCATTTCTTGGAAAATCAAACATTTAAAATAATTTTTGAAAAACGATTATATATTAACACACAGTTCTTCTCATCATGAAAGAATTATGAGTGATCATAAATAGTTAGTATTTATATGAAAAAGCAAAATAAGTTAATATATGGTTTACTAGGACCTGTTTTTTTCGCAAGCAATCTGTAAATGATTATGGTTATGACTGCCAGCCATTTGATGAAAGTTTGCATTGCTGATTTATTTATAATCTTAGCACCATAACAATAAAGAAGTGTTTTTTTTTTTTTTTTTTTTTTTTTTTGGTAGAAATTGTCATTCTTCCCCCCAAAACAGTCGTATAAAATGAGATATCATTCAAACCTCATGTTTCGTCATTCAGGTCTTTTCTTTTCGCATGGTTTTAGATATCTTGCTTTTCCTTTTAGCCTCCTTTTTTATTTTTTATTTCTTTTTATTTCTTTTTATTTTGGTGCATGGCTTTGTTGTAGTCTTTGAACATGCATGTATTAGTTTTATTATGAGAGAGATTATTTGTTTTCATGAAATGTCCAGATTTTTTTTTTTTTTTTTTTAATGTATGTATGTTTATAGCTGCACATGCTTGTAAAAAAAATGAAATTCTAATCAGTGTTGAATATATTTGATATAAATTTGAAGCAAAACTGAAATGTAATAATGAGTAATTATTAATTTGACTACCATAATCATAATTATTTATTTCAGGAATGCACAGAACCCCGTATGTGCCTGTATTCAAGTTCTTTTCCTACTTGGCCATCTGTGGTATATTATAGAGATCCAAATGAAACGTATCAGAATCTTAAAGAAAATATGAGTTCAGAACAACCACAAGTGCAAAATCTCTCTCTGAATGAATTTTATATGAATAGAATGAAAGAAATGGCAAGAATAAAAAACAAAAGGAAAAAACAAAGACGTATGTTTTTTGATTTCATAAAATATATATTAATATTATCTAGTTTTTTTATTTACCACTTTAATGAAGCATATTATACATGACTTTCCAAACTACAGATTTTTGTCATTCATTATGATAAAATACTCAGAGCCCATCTACCTCTGTAAGCTACGTATAAAGGATTATCTTTATGAAGGATTGTAAAAAATGGGGGGACTCGTATTCATGTTACACATAGGAGGACTTATAAAGCTCATGCAGCTGGAAACTACTCTTTCATGAATTTTAGTGAAGCTAATAGATAGATCTGTTAAGTTGAAAAGAAATGCTTTCAACAGAATACAGATGTTGTTTGCACATTTTTTAGGTAATTTAGCTTTGCTGTAAAAAAAAAAAAAAAAAAAAAAAATTGTTTTTTACCTGCAACTATGTTTTTAACCCTTTGTGGCTCAGTGTTCCACTACATGGAGCACCCAAATTGAATCGCTTCTGAAACCTTTAAATTCAACCATAAATAAATAAAAATGCCTTTATAATATACTTTGAAATTTTCTTTTTAAACAGTAGATAGCAACATATCAGAAGGAGAAACAGAATTTTCATTTATTATGTGTTATTAAAATCCACTTTTTTTTTAAGTAATTTTCTCTATACTTTTAATGATATAAAAAACTTTATTTGGAAAAAAAAATTAGGCATAATTTTGCTGGCTGTACTCTAAATTATTTGTTCTATATATTTTTTTTAATCTTTCATACAAAAACCATACGCAGAATCATTGAATAAAACAGGGTGTTCCATTAACGGGAACACTGCGCCTTTAACGATCTCATGCTGTTACGAATCAGAACATCTGTGCTTAGGAGAGAATATCCGTTGTTTTGGGAAGGAATGAATTCCAACAAAGAAGTATTGAGTGGTGAGGTGTGTTTTGTGTTATGAAAGCCTTAATATTGGCATAGTATCAATATAGTTAAATTAAAAAATTTTAATTCAAACCTTATCCCTGTACCACTCTATGTTATATTGCAATATCAGGGGTAAGTTATAATTTGTGACTTTCAACTTGAGACAGTATTCTAGTTGTTCAGTTATTAAACAACTTTGTGGACTCAAAATATTTTTCATACCAGAAAAGATTTGTTCACATAAATATGTAGAACCAAGAGTGTAAAGCAGAACACAGGCAATTTTCTTCAAACATTTAAACTCTCCTCTGCCAGTTACATCCAGTAATTTAAAATAGCTATAGATTTATTGTTAGAGTTATCATCTAGATTTTTTCGTAATTCCGTAAATTTTGATTTCCTTAATCGGCGTAGGTTTGAAGTTTATCTTTGTCTGTAGTTGATGTATTTGCAAGTGCTTTAACATTTGGGAAGTATTTGTAGGTACTAGTATAAATATCATGGGAAAATATATTTAATTTTGTAACAAAGACTTTCTAATATTCAAAAGGTTCAAGCACTGTTTGGCCCTTTCCTTGCAATCCTTAATCCATTGAGATATTTAGTTATATCAGCCAGAAACATCAGTTTTTATAACCATTCTTTATCATTCAATTTGGGAAAATTTCATTTCTTCTCATTAAGAATTTAGTGCCCCATGCATGACAAAAACTTATGCAAGACATTACTTCAACTAACCCAACACACTTGGCTGTATAAGGGGAGATAAACATATTCACAATCCATTTCTTATAAAAGAGATTTAAATTTCCTGTGTACCAGTGAAGAATGAGATACTACGAAACTGACTATTTTAATAACAGTGTTCACTACAGAAATTAAGCGCTGAGACTGAATTTTGGCAGCTTTGGCAATTAAACTTCCTTGGTGTATTATTCAATAGAAGTTCAATATCTTATTTCCAGTATGATTTTCAAGAAGTTTGATAAATATCTTTTCCTTGGCAACCATTGCAGGATTGTCATTAGTAGTTTCACAAAATATTTTATTTATATTAATGATTTTACTTTGAAAGTAATTTATTAAATGAAGAAAGAATATCCCGTCTCTTAGTTGTCTCAGACAGAGGAATTAAGCTGCATAGTTCTTCATAAACTTGATCTTTTATCACAATATTGTGCAATTACTGCAAGGGGCATGAGGTTTGAATCCCGTGAACGGGCTGGCTGCATCGGCGTTTTCGTGGTTTTCCCCATGTGTAACGTGTATACGAGCTAGTTTCCCTTAGAGAGTCCTCCACGAAGGCATCCCTCCCTTTAGGCAGATAGCCCTCGTGTGCTTTGCCATAATTGAATATCCTAATCCTAATGGAAGATTCACAACAACAACCACATCGGTACTTTCATCAAGAGCAATGCCAAATGCAACAGTTTCTTGTAATCTATAATTCTGTTTTGTTGTTACATTTTTTGCCATTTGAATTATTTGTCTTTTAGTAGCTCACACAGAAGCTGATATTTCTTGAAATTGGGATAATTTTGTTTGTAGATTTGGTAAATTGCTGAACAATATTTTAGTGCTTTTTAAAAGTGTGTCCTTTACAGTGTTGCCATCCATGAAAGATTTGCCATTGGCAGCTACACAGTGGGCAATTATAAAGCTGTGTTTGTTCACTTAATGTTTGATACAAAATGTAACTTGCTTTTTATATTCGGTAACAGCTCTTTTTATAATTTCACATTTCTCATCGGAATTCTGAAATGTGGTTTGAAAATATCTTTGTACACTTGACATGCGACATACGATGCTTTCGCGGCATACCACACGCACAGCATCCTTTTGTTGTATGAATCCATATTCATTTGTTTGAGAACCTTGAAGAACATGAGCTCAAGCTTTCTGTTTTTAGTGACCATTTGATTAAATATGTATGTATGAACCGTCACAATAATTAAACAAATAAAATGCAAAGTTTTCATGATAAAACTAAGAACATGTTGTAAAGTTAAAAATAACCTGTAGTGCACGATGTGCATCAAACTAAATTCTACTTTCCACTGAAATCAGGCTCAATATTCGTGGATCTGTGCAATGAACTGAACAAACAGAGAGAAAACACATGAGGTGGGATGGCGCAGAGAGGAGAGATAGGACAATTTATCTTTATCTGAAAACTTTGGTGTGTGGGAGTGGTGCATAGGGTCACTAAGAATTGTACCGTGTTGTGCCATAGGTTGCCAATGTCTGATACAGAGCATACAGCATTATTGTAATGCACATAATTGCACATAAATAACTTAAAAGATTTGGTAAAGAGTATGAAATAAAAGTTTTAAAAAATGTGTTTTATTAGATTTATGGATTTTTTATTTTTGTATTATTATTTATAATCTTACAAATATAAGCAAGTTTTCAGAAGCAAAATTATAGATTATAATTGCCCAGTAGTTTTTTAATTTTAATTATTATGGTGGCTGTGTTTAATGCAATGATGCAATTTTTTAAAAATATTTAACATAAAATTACTTAATTCTTAAATTATCTTGTTCAAAAGTATCCAACATATTTCTTGTTTTCCATTATAAGTTCCATTTCCATAGTTTTCAGCACTTGACTGATTTCACTAGGCAAGAGAGGAAAAATTTAATAATGTTGGTTCAGCAGCAACTTTTATTTTGAGATATTATCGGATGACTTTTAAATTACAAAACTTAACATATCCATGTATTTTGAATAAAACTCATGACTTGAACATTTTCCTTCAGTGCGATCAACTGTTACATCATAATATCAAGATGAGGTAAATTGCTGTTCACCAGTTCTATGAGCCATGCTGTTGCATTCAAATTTTCATTGTCTTAGAAGCAAACTTTAAAACCTTCTTTTAAATTTGCAAGTGGCTTGTATATCATGTAACATATTCTGAGGAAATACAGTCCTTTTCAATAATGGACAAACACATCAAAGTATCAGAGTTATCAAATTGTTCCTGATTTAGAGTTATCAAATTGTTAAACAAGTTGATTTAAAAGCAAAAAACAAAGATAATTGTTCCGCTTTCAATGCAGTTTGTTTTATATGGTATTGAACAATATATTTATATGGTATTGAATATATATAAGCCAAGTAGAATATATGTCTTTTGAATTTTAATTATTGTATTGCCATAGAATTTTCAACTTGAAAAATTTTTACTGCAGTGCAGTATTAAGAATGTGTATACGAGGGCAATCCCAAAAAAAAGGTCTCCTATTTTTTGGGGACGTACAAAAAGTTTTAATATGGTTGTTGGCAACACTGTTTGTGAGTGGTGGCTTCTCCGCTACCGCATAAGCACGCAGGCGCTTCGCTCGGATGCTCAGTCTTGGCTTGGCAGCCATTCGAAATGGAGCTCCCGATAAACGTTGCCACGAAGTGCGCGCAGTTATTTGATTTTTGAACGCAAAAGGCGTTAAACCAGTTGAAATTCACCGCCTATTGACGGAAGTGTATGGACAGTCGTGCATGGATGTCAAAAACGTTCGCAAGTGGTGTAGAGAGTTTACAGCAGGTCGTACTAAAATTCATGAGGAAGAAAGGAGCGGCAGGCCGTCAATTGCCAACGAGACAATCGCGAAAGTTGAGAAACTCTTGCGTAAAGATCGGAGGATCGCTCTGGATGCTCTCTGCATTTTGGTTCCTGAGGTTTCCAGAAGCACCATCCACAGAATTTTAATGGAAAAGTAGCAATATTGGAAGGTGTGTGTGCAAGATGGGTGCCGCATATATGCTGACAGAAGACCACAAACGGCAACGGGTTGATTCTTCCCGCAAATTTCTTTGCCGCTGTGGAGACGAAAAGGAGAACTTCTTGGACTCGATTAACGCTTCCTGAAGAGCATGACGGCAAGCTGGTATGACATGGGCATTGTAAAACTGCCACAGCGTCTACAAAAATGCATCGACCGAAATGGCGATTATGTTGAAAAATACAGCATGCTTCAATCTTTAAAGTGATGTAGCAATTATAGAAAATAAACGGTTCTTTGTGTATCTAAAAATATAGGAGACCTTTTTTTTGGGATCGCCCTCGTAAAATGCTGCAAATAGTTACCCTTGGAGAGCCAATAT